GATTTCTGAGAAGCTCACTGCGTGGGGAGAGACAGAGGAATGAAGCAGAGAGGCGCACAGGAGGAACGAGGCTGGGGTCCTGTATCTGTGAATAAAACCTGTCCTCGGGCTCCTCTTTTCCCCTCGTGCTTTCTGCTTACCACCCCTTTTCTCCCATGATTTCCACGTGGGAAATCCATGTGGGAAATCCCACGATTTTCCCAGGTGTGGAAGAATCACAGAATCACACAGAATCACAGAATATTGAGGTTGGAAGAGACCTCTAAGGTCTTCAAGTCCAACCTATGTCCCAACACCTCAACTCAGAATCTAGACTACAGCACCAAGTGCCATGTCCAGCCTTTTTTTAAAACACATCCTGAGATGGTGATTCCACCACCTCTCTGGGAAGAGCATTCCAGTGCTTTATTATTCTTTCGGTGAAAATTTTTTTCCTAAAAGAATGCCACTCTGCTTAAACCCACACGACCCCTGGGGGGTTTCTTGGCCTCTCACCTTTCTGCACAACCCGGAGTCGCACCTCCCCGATGGTGCCATAGACGTCTGGCCAGTTTGTCACCTGGCAGGTGAAGGTCCCGTTGTCACTGGGCTTCAGGTTCCAGACGATGATGGAAACGTCGTGGCGCTCAATGTTCCCATCCCAGGTGACTCGGTCCTTAAACCTGCCCGAGGGGGGCTCGTAGGGCTCCTTCAGGTAGTAAAATACCTGCAAAAGTCACAGGAACATCCAATGGCCTGGGCTGGAAGGGACCTGGGAGATTCCTGAAGTCTCATCAGGTGCAGGATGTCACCTAAGACAGAGCTCAGCCGTGGTGTCAGCAGGTCCAGCTTTGTAAAGCCACAAATATTTTAACCTGACCACCCAAAACTAAACATGAGAGTGTTTTTTAGGCAGAGTCTACAAACAGGACTCGGATTAATCACCGCAAGTGACGAAGGCCCGGGTGTACCTGTGGGTTTGGGTGTGCCTGTACCACTCACTGCTCACCCAGCGCTGGGTTTTGGGGTGAGGGGAGCCCCTGGAAGGGAGCACGGAGATCTCACTCACCGGCTCGTGGGCGCTCAGGTCCTCGGGCTGGAAGTTCCAGCTCACTGAGAGCTGCTGGCTCACGGGGCTGCTGCTGGAGAAGGTGCATTTCAGCCGCTGGTTGGTCCCGTTCACGGCCACCACCTCCTTGGCAGTGTGAACTTCCACTGCTGCCGCCAGCCACAGCGCTGCAGGGCAAACACAGGGGGAAATCACAGTCCGGAGCGAGCTCATCGCTGCTCTTATCAGCTTTAGCTCCCCGGGAGCCTCATCTGTGCTGGCAAGGGATCGCCTGAGTGTCTCATGCATTCCAAGGGGGGTGGTCCTGCCGGTTTATTCAGAAAAACCCTTTCAAACTGGACTGGACCCACCCAATAATTGCTATTTCCCATGCTGGAACTTCCCTTTCTACACTTTCTACTCAGCCTCGTGCACACCACGGTGAAACTGCTCTTACTGGTACATCCAGAGCCGGCTTTAGATGCTTTACAACTCAGCTGAGCAACTGCGGGTAAATTCAATCAGGTCTAGAGGAAATCCTCAAGATAAATGTGGATTTGTTTTTCCAAGAAACATCCCCACAACCACCATGGCTGCTGCTTTAGAAATAAGCGAGCATCGCTCACTCGATGCTCCCCTGGAAGAGGGACAAGCAGCAAGAAGGAGAGCAAGGAAAAGACAGGAGGAAAATGAAAAAGAAGAAAAATTAATGGTTTGCTGGTGAATGAAATAGAAAGTATCAATATCCTGTCACATTAGGAAGATAACTCACCCCAGTATGATTCAAGCCAAAAAAAAGCTTATACAGGGTTGTAAAATACAGCTTCAGAATAAAGACGTATTTTAAAATAATTTATGACTAAATACTTCCTTCCAAATAATTCCTTATCTCAAAGGGAAAAAGACTTGGAATGCCAAAGCATTGAGAGTATTCACACGTGAAAAACCTCATTGGCAGAGATCACGTTGCTCATACATGGATTCGGTGCCAAATCTTTTCATTCTAAACTCCTTGAAAAGAACTAAGCGAGAAATAAGAGTAAAATGCTTTTTTTCCAAGGCAGATTACATCCGTGTGCTGATGCATTTGGGACAGGAAGATGTGTTGTTATTAAAGTCCAGGTGTTTTGATAGAAACCACTGAAAATTCAGGTGAGTTTCGTGTCAGCCTGGAGCCTTTGCTGTGTAAAGGATCTGAAGCCGGAGCTCCTGGACAATCCCCGACTGTTTAGGAACAAAGGTAGCAAAAAAAAAAAAAAAAAAAAAAAGAAGAAGAAGAAGAAAGGCTGGGAGTAAAGTTCAGATTCCTGGCAGGAGGGAAAAAGACTTTGAAAGCGGAGCCGAGGAGGAAATCAGGGAGGAGATCGGTGCTCTTCCTCCGGAATACGCCCGAACCTGTTGGGGAAGAAACTCAACGGCTTCGTGCCGCTTCCAGCGAACCCCGAGCAGGAAGAATGGCAGCGAGGACGGGGCGGGGGAAAGCCTCATCCTTGGGGATAATTTAGGATCGGAAGAGGGGAGTGAGGCGGCAGCACGGGACAGGTTTCCTTACCTCGGAGCTGCGCCCCAAGGACGAGCGCAGCGCCCAGCCAGGCGCGGCCGCGCATCGGGGCGACAAATCCGGGCTGCAGAGGCAAATCCGCTTCGGCTTCTCCGTGACCGGGTAGAAGATGAGTTTCTCGAAGTCTTCCCAGCACAACGGGGCGGATTCCTTGCCCCCAGCTCGGCCTGCGAGGGAAGGTGGGCGCTCCCCTGCCCGAGTCGGGGCGCGCTCCGTGCCAAGGTGTGCCCGGCCCCGCTCAGTCCTGCCGTAAATCAGCGATTCCCAAGGTAAGATGAATTTCTTCTCCCTCCCATATTCCCCTGCTCTTTGGTGTTGCAATCATTCCTCCTCCCAGCCGCCACCCGAAACCACTCCCCTCTTGTGGGAGGTAAAAGAACAACTTTGCCTGGAGGTGTTCATAGGTGGCTCCAAGGAATGAGGGCCATTTGTTCGGCAAAAAGCCTGCAAACGATCCTAAAAAGAGCCGCCCAAAACTGACAGTCCGTGGCTGCAGTGCGGGCCCTCACCCAGAGGATGGAAACGTCCCACCAAGCACAGACACCTACCCTAAAGTGATGTGAACGTTCCTTGGTTGTAGCCAACTTCCCAAGCTTGGGAAGTTCTGGGGAAAATCAGGTGGGAAATGGGCCCAGCCCGGCCATATTCCAGTAAGTGAGAAATTCCGTGGGACACAAAACATCCCGCAGTCGGCGCGTGGCTGTTGTGAGAGTGTGAAACCGATCAGAGCCTGTGTGTTGGCAAAATGAGGATGTTTGCACTCGAGGGCCATAAATCCCCGGAGTGGCGGTGTTTGTGTTCACCATCCGTCCCGAGAAGTCATCCCAGGTCACCGCTTCCACTTGTGCCTGCTGCCGATTTCCCTTGCAGGCTGCAAGGGGAGGGTGCCTCAACCTCTGCGTGTTTGGGGGGGTTCCCTTCAGCGATTTGGAGATGGAAAACCAGCACCGAGGCCGCCAGCTCTCTGGATTGTCCCCAGAACAGAGCAGAGAATCCCGCTGAGCTAACACACCCCTGCTAACACCTCCGGGACACCAAGGATCTCCATTTTCCTGGAATGATTTGGTCCCGTGTTAGCCCTTCATCACTCCATCTCCCCAGGTTTCCACTCAGTTACAATTCCAGCATATCGCCTCCTTTTGTTTCCTCACACCGTGAATATTTATCACTCTGGGGCTTTGTTCAGGCTGCGATCAAAGTTTAGCAGCCAATTTGCTGCCACTTCCTAATCCTGGTTCTGCACAGGGCTGGGAACAGCCCCTTTGCCTGCAGACTTCTGCTGATCTTCATCCTTTTACGAAACACAAACTTTTAAGAGAAGAGCAAGTCCCTGGCACGCTCGCCAGTAACCTAAATTCTCTGACTTGGAAACATAAATGAGGAAAAGAAAGCCCTGACGGCCAAGGAATGCACCCCAATAAAGGAAATGGGGCACAGCAGCCTCCCCCCTTGTGCCTTTAGAGCCTTTACAGGCACTCTGCACTTCATCCCAAACCAGCGGGCATCCCAGCAGCCCAGGTGGGAGCTGCCACCACAGCCCGGGTGTCCCACCAAGCCTGAATCACTTACCCAGCATCACCAAACGGTGATTGCTGCCAGCAGCCCGCGGGCAGAGCCCGGAGCGGCCCTGGCCCGGTGCCCGGGGTCTGTGCGTGCCCAAGCCCCGGCTGGCACGGACCGTGCCCTGGTGCGGCGCTGGCCGGGCCAGGAGCCCCCTCTAGTGGGCCAGCCACTTCCACCGGGAGCGCCCGAGAGGGAGAACCTCCCAAAAATGCTGCCGGGATAGGGCCTGGATAGGGGCTGATGGGCAGGGGATGGGCAGGGGGCCATGGCCTGTGCCCGGGCAGGGCTCGGGGTGCTCAGCTTTGGGTGGAGCTCCTGGTTCCTTCCTTCCAGCCTGCCAGTGCCTGGAGGGACCTGCAGGGAAGATGGAGAGGAGCCCTTGGTCAGCAGCTGGAGGGTAGGACAGTGGGAGTGGGTTCACACTGCCAGAGGGCAGGGATGGATGGGATGTTGGGAGTTGGGAATTGTTCCCTGGGAGTGGGGGGTGCCTGCCACAGGGTGCCCAGAGCAGCTGTGGCTGCCCCTGGATCCCTGGCAGTGCCCAAGGCCAGGCTGGACAGGGCTGGGAGCAGCCTGGGACAGTGGAGGGTGTCCCTCATGGCAGGGGTGGGATGGGATGGGCTTTGTAGTTGGGCTTTATGGTCCCTTCCCACCCAAACCATGCTGGGATTCCACGTGAAGTCCTTTGCCACAGTTGGAGCCTCTCAAGCTCTCACTTTGAGAAGCTGTTGGGAAGGTCCTGATGGCAAATCTGATTCCAGCTCGTTTCTCTCTCCTCGCAGGAGCTGTCCCGAGCCCTGCAGAGCTGCTGCAGAGCAGAGCAGCCACCCCTTGCTGGCAGTGACGTCCCACGAAGACATTTTGAGCCTCTGCACTTCCTGACCTGGGCTGATTTCACGTGTCTGCGTCTGCCTTGGCTGCTCTGGAAACAGTGAGTCCCCCAGCCCTGCTCGGGTCGGTAGCAATTCTGGGAAAAACAATCCCGGGCTTCTTTCTAGAAAAGCCACCGTGTTCTTTCCTGCCACAGCCACGCCAGTCTGATGTGGTGGAGAGGAGCAGCAGGAGGAGGAACACGAGGATGAGGCTGGAGCAGTGCCTGCCCCTCCTGGGGCTCCTCCTGTGTGCAGGTGAGTCCCCAAACTTCAGGCAGCAGGGTCGGTGCAGTGTGAGCTGCAAGGTTCCACGCTCCTAATTTTGGTTTTATCCTTTATCCCTGCCCTTTTCTCCAAGTTTGGTGATCCTGGGTAAGTGATTCTGGCTTGGTGGGATGTCAGGGGTGTGGTGGCAGTTGGGATGCCCCTGGTTTGGGATGAAGTGCAGAGTACCTGTAAAGGCTCTAAGGAACCCAGTAATGAGGAGAGATGAGTGTGCAAGGTAATGCATTTAGAGATGTTACAATACTCCAACTACTCTGCCAAAGTGCTGCAAATACCAACCTTTGAAGACAGAAAACGTGGTTTATCAGTGGCCTGTCCTTTTCCAGATTTAAATGTATCTATGTAAAATAAAAACCATCAGGTCACCTTCTCTCCAGCCAAGTCTGCTGTGGAATTCAAATCTGCAGTAGTTTATTTTTGTTACTTTTTGCAAAAGGACAAATGTCTTTAAAGGAAATCACAAATACGATTCACACCTCTTAAAAGCTCTTTCTTTATATCCCAGCTCCAGAGCCTCTCATGGAGCAAAGCTGTTTCTTACAAGGCAGAAAACCCACACAGATAAACTGGTTTACAGCGAGTTCTCTTGCTGAGGACAGAGGTTCTTACCAGGATTTCCCAGCAGTGTTTGCTCCGTGATAACAAAGCAGAATTTCGGGGTTTGCATCTTGCAATAACAGCCCTTTTCTCTGAGCTGGGTTGGAAAATGATTCAAGTTTCCATTCTGCGTTAGGCTGCGCTGAAAATGGCTTCCAAGTTCACAACAACATCCTGTCTCACCACCAGAATATTTGATGTCTTCAGCATGAATGTGAGATTATAGACATCTCTTTCGAGCAGCTGAGCTCAGAAAGGGTGTCCTGGGAGTAGGAAAGGTGTGTGATATCTGAAGCTCAATTAATTAACATTTCTTATTCTTTTTTTTTGCAGTTGGCACCACAGCTCAGCAGGGTAAGTGTATTTTACTGCCATCCTTGACTATTTATCATGCTAAAACCCCCAAATATGCCTCAAAAGTGAGGACTAGGAGTCAAATAGAAAGATTTGAATTTTGTAAATATTGCAGGACAGGAAAAATTCATGGTTCATTGATTAACACTGGTCTTACTGATTGGAGAAATTGGTCCCTAATTATTACCAGTGTTGGGCATTTCCAACACTGTGAGGCAATGGTGAGATGATTTTTAACACTTCTTGTTTTCTGTTTTGCAGGTGAAGAACTGGAGGGTAAGTGAATTTTACCAGCATTCTTTAGTATTTAGCGGGACATAAAGACTGTACTGACTAAAAATCAGGTAGAAATATTTGACTTTTGCCCCCGGTTTCCTTTCTCATTGGTGTGTCTTCCCAAGGGGAATTCCTGGTGGAGATTTCTGGCACCACGGTGACCATCACGTGTCCCTTGGAGGACGAGGACATCCGGTGGGACCTGTTTGGGAAAACCCAGGACACCAAGGAGAGGAAGTTCATTATAAAGGACCATGACAGCACTCCTGCCAACCTCAGCTGTTCCTTGGGTAACAAGAAGCATCAGCTGTACCTGAACGCCAAAGGTGAGCGCAGCCCCCTCACCTGCACGTGGCAGTGGCAGGTTTTGGGGCTGACACTGATTTTCCAGTGCTGGGTGAATGTGGTGCTGCTGAGGCCAGTCCCAGAGCCCATTTTTGGCAGAAGGACTCTCCCCTTTCCCCTCAGTTTGCCCTTTTCCCCTTCCCGGCTGCCCGTAGCCCTGTGCCACCCTCGGCTGAGCCAGGCCTGGGCTCTGAGCATCCCCTGCCCTCATCCCCGCAGTGTGTGCCACCTGTGAGGAGCTGGATGCCCTGACTGTGGCAGGGATCATCACTGCAGACCTCCTCATCACCCTGGGCGTGCTGATCCTGGTCTATTACTTCAGCAAAGGCAGGAAGGGACGAGCCAGCACTGCTGGGGACAGTCGGCCACGAGGTGAGAGCCATTGCAGGCATCCCTGCTGCCTGTGCCTCCTTCTGAGCAGTGAGAAAACCCTCTCATTGCATCCTCTGCTCCCCACGAGCTTCCAGGCGATGCTCCTGCTCCCCACGGGTGTTCTCCAGGCTGTGTCTGTGCAGGGATGGGCTGGCTGCTGCAATGGAACCCATTTCCCTGGCCGCTGTGCTGGAGCCAGCCCTGCACCTCCCGGCAGCAGCTGGCTCTTCAGGAGCTCAGGATAAATCCATGGGAGGTGATCCGTGGTGTGCCTGGCCCTGGGATCAGCCTGGAGGCCCCTCGTGGCAGGAATCCCCAGGGATTCACCCTCTCTGTGCCTCTGTTTCAGGTCAGAAGATGCAGCGGCCTCCCCCTGTCCCGAACCCGGACTATGAGGTGAGGACAGTCCCTTTCCATCCCCGGGGAGGGACAGCCAGGGCTGGGGCTGTTTCAGGTCAATTATCCGTGAAGAAGCATCCAGCCAAGCTCCCAGATTTCCTGGCAGGAAAAGGGAGAAGGGTGGTGAGGGCACAGCCCCTTTCCCTGGTGCTGCCATGGGATTTATGTGGGGGCAGAGCTGCAGCTCCCTGGGCACTGCCCCTGCTCTGCTGTGCTCTTCTCCATGCCCTGTGGGCTCAGGTGAGCATTCCTGACCCGGGGTCTCTGCTCGTCTCTCCCCACAGCCCATCCGGAAGGGCCAGCGGGAGGTGTACGCAGGCCTGGCACCCAGGGGCCTCTGAACCTCCTGTGATGGCAGCCTGGCACCAGCAGCTCTGCGGGAAACGCTTCTGCCCAGCTTGTTCCCAGCTCCCTGCAGCTCTGCTGAGCCTCTGGCATTTTGGGCTCAGCCAGGTGGCCACAGGACAGGGATGTGCTGTCCCAGCCCGGGGTGTGCTTGGGTGTGCCAGCCCAGAACAGAAATGAGAACATTGGCAAGAGATTTCCTTCTCATTAAAGGCCTGCAGCCTCACTGGGCGTTCCTGGTCTCCTTTTCCCCTCACACTTCTCTCTGCTCCTGCTGCTTTTCCCTCAGGTTTAATTTCTGCCCTCAGTGCCCCCATTTGTTTCTGGTGTTCCCTGGGCCGAGAGTGGATCCTCCTCTGGGGGATTTGCTCCTGCTGCTTTTCCCTCAGGTTTAATTTCTATCCTGAGTATTTCCACTTGCTTTTGGTGTTCCCTGGGCCAAGAGTGGATCCTCCTCACGGGATTTGCTCCTGCTGCTTTTCCTGAGTTTCTACCCTGAGTGTTCCCACTTGCTTTTGGTGTTCCCTGGGCTGAGAGCGGATCCTTCTCAGGGGGATTTGCCTCTGACCTGGTCCTGCTCTCCCCTCACAGCCTGGCCTCCGTTTCCAGCCCTGCAGGCAGTGAAACCCCACAAGTGGGTGTGCAGCACGGGTTAAGAGGGGCCCGTGGGTTGTTTTGGTGCCTGCTCCAGCTCAAAGCCTGGCTGAGGCAGCCCCGAGCAGAGGAAGCAGCAGCGGAGCAGGGCTGGGGGGGTTCAGCTGCACCCCAGCAGCTCCAGGATGCGGTTTAGAGGCACAGCTGGGCTCGTTTACCACAGCAGGCCCCACGCCCGAGCAGGGAGATGGAGAGATACATGCGGCACAACCATCCCCCAGAGCTCCAAACCCACGCAGGGCCACGCTCTCACCTTCTGCAAGCCAGCACTGCTCAGCCACCACTGGGCTGCGAGAAGCTTGCACTGCTCTGGGTGTACACAGCCTACATTTTGCTTCAAAAAACCCCTAAATTTTCCTACACCCCAGTGCTGCTCTCACCATTTTTGGGGTACATCAATGTAGGAGTGTGTCCCAATGTTTGTCCCAGCCAGTGCCATCTCACAGAGCAGGACCAGCACCCAGGCAGTGGCAGCCCTGCCTCTGTGCTTACCTGCACCAGGGGAATATTTCCTTGTCCTTCCAGGGTGAGGTGATGCTGCCTGGCCCTGTCTGTGTCCCATTTTGGGGACTCAGACCACATGAGCTGTTTCTGCTTTGGGGCTGGGGAGTGGAGACCTGGCATTGCCATCCTAAATCCCATCCCTGTGCCCCTTCCCAGTGACCAGACCCCATCCCTGTGCCCCTTCCCAGTGACCAGACCCCATCCCACTGACCAGATCCCATCCCTGTGCTCCTTCCCAGTGACCAGACCCCATCCCTGTGCCCCTTCCCCAGGAGCTGGACACAGCAGATGGAGCAGGGAGCCCGTGGGACAGGCTCATCTTTAATGGCAGGAATTTAGAAGTGCAAGAGGTGATGGAATGAGCACAGGGCTGCAAGCAGCCCACCCTGGAGGGTCCCCCAAGCAAAGGCAGCACGCTGATGAAGGCAGTCTCAGAGTCTTCCTCTTCACCTGCGGGCACGGGTGGGAGCCAGCCGGCTGTACTGCTCCTCCTCCCGCTCCCCCAGGGGCTGTGAGGGGGAAAAAAGGGGAGATGAGCCCAAACTGTACCTGCCCAGCCCTGGGAGGGCGAGCTGGGTCAGCCTTTGGCAAGATTCTCTCCACACTGAGGGGCTGAAGGTACCCCAAACACACACACAGAGGGGCTGAAGGTGCCCCAAACACATGCAGAGGGGCTGAAAGTGTCCCCACGCACACAGGGTGGGGGTTAAACGTGTCCCCCCACACAGAGGGGTGCCCCCACACTCACCTGGTAGAGCTCATTGGAGATCAGGTTCTGCTTGTCAGAAGCTGAAGGAAGAAAGAAGGACAAGCTCAGGGGAGCCACGGGCAACGTGGGGAACACTTCCAAACAAACCCAAGAGCTGGCTGCAGCGCCTGGGTGCCGCACAGAGCCCCCAGGGGTGCCAGGCACTCACCTCGCGAGGTGTGTCCCCTGTCGTGGCCAGTGATGCAGAACACGGCCACTGCCAGGAGCAGCGTGGCCACCACGTCGGCGATGACGATGCCCGAGATGGTGGGAGCGTCCACCTCGATGCAGTTCTGGCACACTGCAAGCCCAAAAGGACACGGACACTGAGGGCAGGGGCACTTCCAGAGGGCTCAGCCAGCTCTGCCAGTCCAACAGAGAGCAGCTGGGTTTGCTGTGTGACCCACAAGCTGCCACGTGTCCCCCACAGCCCGTGCAGGGCCAGAGGAGCAGGTCGTGGCACTGAACAGGGCTGCAGGGCTGTCACAGTGACACCACACGCACAGGAACCTGCAGCAAACCCGTGGAGACACTCCCAGATGAGGGGAAATTCCCTCAAGACTTGGCTGGGGGGAAAACTCCAAGCAGTTCTGGCTCTGGCAAAGCAGGAGTGCAGCACTTACTGCGATAGTGCACCTGGAGGCTGCTCTTTTTGTTCCCTGTCTTACACACGTAGAGACCCCTGGGGTCGTCGTAGACCCCGCTCAGGTCCAGCTGTGCCTCGTGTCCAACAGTGCTCCCATCTCTCCACCATGTGATGTTGCTGCCTTGGCTCCTCACACACTCCAGGAACACCTTCCCGCTGAATTCCTTCACGAATATCTGCCCTGTGCAAGGAGAAGGGAGCAGAGCTTCACCTCTGAGTGATGAACAGCAGCGCAGAGCTCGGAGCTCCTTCCTGGGGAGGAAGCATCACATCAGGCTGCCCCAAAACAGCTCTGGGCTAAGCAGGCTGCCCCATCCTCCTGCACTGACTCCCTTTTCCCCATGGACGTTCCAAACCTTTCCTGCTGGAAAACCTCACCAATCCCCGGGGTTCCTTCCCAGCAGGGACCACGGCGAGTGTCCGGCCGCTGACCCCGCACCTCTGGACTCACCTCGGACGCCCGAGCTGGCCACGGCCAGGCTGGCCAGCAGTGCCCAGGCACTCAGGGCCGTTCCCCCCGGCATGGCACGGCGGCGCTGGCTCTGTCCCCCTGGCAGGACGTGGGGAGAGCTGTCACCACAAGGCACCTCCCGCCCGGGCTGCGTCAGGCACCGGATGCCGGGGGCTGATGCTGCCTCCCCCGGGAGGGATGGGGGCACCCACGGAACCCTGCAGGAGCCACTGAGCCCCACATCTCCCTGTCCCCCTGGAGCCATGGACCCCTGGCACCTACTGGTGCCCCCCAGCCAGGAAACACTGCAGAGCTGGGGAGTCCCCAAAATTTCCACATCCCCCTGCGGTCACTGATCCCCCATAGCCACTGACCCCAGCATCCACTGCTAGCCATAGACCTTCAGCATCCACTGGTGTCCTCCTGCAGCCACAATTCACTCCACCCACGGATCCCCCGGCATCTCCGTGTCCCCACAATCGCGGTCCCCGATCCCCCCCATTTCCAGTTGTCCCCGCGCAGTCTCGAACCCGCGGCCCGCCGCTCGAGCTCCGCGCCGCGGTCCCGTGTCCCTCGCGGCCACCGTAGGGCGCGCAGCCATGGCGGCGCGGGCGGGCTCGCTGGTGGCGGCCGTGCTGGCTCACTCGGGCCGGCTGGACAAGGAGCACCTGGGAGCCCGCGTCGGGCGCCTCTCCCGCCGCGTCGAGGAGCTCAAGGCAAGGCTCGGGGAACGGAAGGGGCGCGGGGAGACACGCGGGGGCGGCGCTGCGGCGGAGCCGGTCAGGACCGGGTGTCCAGCCCTGGGTCAGTTCGGGTGTCCAGCCCTGGTTGGAGCGGGTGTCCAGCCCTGGTTTGGGCCGGGTGTCCAGCCCTGGGTCAGCTGGATCGGGGTGTCCAGCCCTGCTTTGGGCCGGGTGTCCAGCCTTGGTTCAGCCCCGGGTGTCAGTCCTGGTTCGTCCCGGAGTGCCCCAGCCCTGGCAAGGGTGCCCAGCCCTGGTCAGGGGTATCCCAGCCCTCTTCATCCCGGGGTACCCAGGGGTGCCCAGCCCTGGCAGGGGTGCCCAGCCCTCTCCATCCCGGGGTACCCAGGGGTGCCCAGCCCTCTCCATCCTGGGGTGCCCCAGCCCTAGCCCGGGGTGCCCAGCCCTCTCCATCCTGGGGTGCCCCAGCCCTAGCCCGGGGTGCCCAGCCCTGCCCTGCTCTCTCACCCCGTCCCGGCTGTCCTGTCCCTCTGTCGCCGAGGTGACGCTGTCCCCCTGCTCTCCTCAGGGAGAGGTGTGCACCATGATCAACAAGAAGTACAGCGAGTTCCTGCCCAGCATGCAGAGCGCAGAGGAGCTGGTGGCACAGGTGGAGGGGCTGTCCAACAACATCGACCTGCTCAAGGCTGGCATTGAGAACGAGGTGACTCCCCGGGGACATTCTGCTCCATTTCATCCCAAATTTGGAGCCCCCCACCCCATCGTGGGGTGTTTGGTCACAGCCCCAAACCTGCCAGAGCTCAAGGAGTGTTCAGAAAACACTTTCATGATGGGATTTTCGGGTTTGTGGCAGGACCCTTCCAGCTCAGGAGGTTCTGTGGTTCTGTGGCTGGGATCCCTGGGTGATATCAGCCCTAAAGAATGCCTTGAGGTGACACCAGGGTGTACAGTAAGGCTGTCATTAAGGGATTGTCACTCTGGCGTGGATGGAAAAGCGTGTCACTGTGTCCTTCAGGGAGAAGGACCAGCCTTGGCTGGGGCAGGGGGTGGGACACAGGGATAAAAAGGTTGGAGTTTTTTCCCTCCTCACTAAATCATTCTATGAACAGAAATAAATGATAAATGAAATTTAAGAGGAAAAGGTGTGTGCTAACCAGTGCTGTCAGTGAACTGAAAGCTGCTGTTGTTTTAGGTCCAGCGAGATCTAGACGTGGCTGTTGCTGAGTTCACAGAGCTGAAGCAGCAGCTGGACAGGGACACGCTGGTCCTGAGTGTCCTGAAAAAGCTGCAGGAGGTGAGGAGGGGGAGCAAAATAATCCTGCTCCTCAGTGTGGGACATTGTTCTGGGCTTCTGTTTTGGATGAGTGTCTGTAGCTCACAGATTGGGTGTCTGTAGCTCACAGATTGGGTGAGTGTCTGTAGTTTCCCAGTTTGGGTGTCTGTCTGTAGCTCACAGTTTCGGGTTGTTGTCTGTCTGTAACTCCCAGTTTGGGTGTCTGTAGCTCACAGGTTTGGGTATCTG